TTCTTTGATCATCCCTATCTGGAGGAGTTTTTCTACCTCTTCTTGAATGATTTGGTTTCTTTCGGGTGCAAACTTCCTTCTCTTTTGGTGTATTGGTCTGAAAGAAGGATCAATATTAAGGTTATGAGTGATAATACTCTTGTCTATACCTGTCATATCTTCGTGTTTCCATGTGAATGTCTTGCTTCTGGTTCTTAGGAAGTTCACTAGATCTTTTTCGATATGCTCAGGTATTGAGGATCTTATAAGGACTTTAGCTTCAGGATCCTCGATGCCCAGGGGCACTTCCTTCACGTCTTGTTCCTTTGTTTCTAGGACATGTTGTGCCTCCTGCCTTAATTGATATGCTTGTTGAGGTTTGGTCGTATATTTCATAGAGGTTTTATAGCATTCCTTCGACTCTTGTTGATCTCCCATGATCTTCACTGTTCCCCATGGAGTAGGTAATTTTACACACTGATGGTATGTTGATGGAACTGCTTTCATCTCGTGGATCCATGGTCTACCTAGTATCACATTGTAAGAAGATAAGGTGTCAGTAACACAAAAATTTTGTATAGAGTTTACCCCCTCTATGTATATTGGTAGCTTCATCTCTCCGATCGTGTGTTTCGTTTCCCCGCTAAATCCTATGATGACTGATGATTTCTTGATTATCTCTGATTCTGGGATGTTCATCCTTTTTAGTGCGTCTAGGAGTATGATATTGACCGAGGATCCTCCATCAACAAGGATCCTTCTGACGAAGTGGTTGGCCATATACAACGTTATTACGAGTCTGTCATGATGAGGATCCTGAATTCCTTCCCTGTCCATCTCGCCAAACATAATCTCCTTTTCATCACTGATCACAGTATTCCTTTATGGTCTTTCTTCCTTTTCTATTTTATAGATCTTGGCTTGTCTTTTCGCCTGGAAATAAGAAGTACCACAGATGTTAGATCTGCCCGATATGACGTTAATTATCTTAGCGTCAGAGGGTGGGGATCCTAGTTTCTCTAGGATCCTGCGACCATCCTGTCTGTTCTCCTTGTATTTTTCTCTTTTTCTCTGGAGGATCTCTTTAAGGTGTCCTTTACTAAGGATGTAGTTGATTTCTTTTCTTAGGGCTATGCAGTCCTCCGTCATGTGGCCAAAGTCTTCGTGGTAAGCACATCATTTGGACCTGTCTTTCCAAGTGGTGGATTTGTTGTCCCTCTTTGGCCATCTTGCTTTGTCTCCAAGGTCCTGTATAGCATGAATTATACCTGAAACATCCACAGAAAAGCAATAATCAGTGATCTTAGGAAGTTCTTCCTCTTCTCCCTCATCCTCGAGGGTATTGACCCTGTGATGATCCGGTTTGGAATAAGGCTTCATTTTGTAGGATCTTGGAGTTGAGGATTTAGCCTTTCTATTGGGACTCTCATATTGACTCGAATGGTTGCTTCTCTTCTGAATTTCTCTATCCTCTTCAATCCTTATGAACCTAAATGCTTGGCACCTGACCTCATCCAATCTTTTGCATGGGGTCATCACAAGGTCTTCATAGAAGGGTGAATCCTTCATAAGTCCCATTTTGAAGGCTTCGACAGCAGTGGCCATGTCGATATTGGGGATGCTCAAAGCTTCCCTGCCAAACCTGTTAACGAACTCCCTAAGTTTCTCGTTAGGATACTGAACCACTTGATAGAGATCACTAGTGATCTTTTCGAAGGTTCTGCTGCAAGAAAACTGGTTATTAAAGATATTGACTAAGTGTGCGAATGAAGTAATAGAGTATGGGGGAACGTTTAACAGCCATTTGAGGGCTGATCCTGTAAGGTTCAAACCGAAGCCTTTGCATAAGCAAGCTTCCTTTAAGTGTCCCGGGATGGGGATGATCTCCATCTTTTCTCTGTATTGAGCTATGTGCTCTTCAGGATCCGTAGTTCTATCGTATAACTTCATGCTGGGGGTTTGGAAGCGCTTAGGAACTTCGGTATCGACTATCGCTGGAGCAAATCCTGAGATCCTGTGACGAGAGATGCTTCCGGTATGGGTTGGACTACTCCGGGTACACTTGAGATCATCTACCTTAGTTGTTGAAGTTCCCTAGCCATGTTTGGATTTATTCATAACTTTATCATCCGACGTCCGTTTTCATCTGTCTTTATATTGTTGAGTTCTTATTAACGAGATCTTCGATTCTTGTTTAGATTGTGTCGGCTAAAAATCGATCGATCTAAAATTCGAATTCCGGACTGTGCACCGCTATGCTAAATCTTAGAAATTCATAACTTCCTCATACGAAGTCAGATTTGGACGTTTTTGTTGATGCACACTCTCGGTTTAACGTATACTATGACTTTTGTTAAGATCGTTAAGGCTAAAATTAATTTATCAAAAATTCACTTTTTACGTTATGTGGTGTCGTGCCGGTTTAGCCGTAAAACTTCGACATGTCATAACTTCTTCGTTATAACTCGGATTTCAGCGTTCTTTATAAGTACGGAACCCTTGTGACATATACTATAACTTGGTTAAGATTATTTTTTCGAAATAATCTTCTATCAAAAAGTCATTTTTGACGCTTATTGTCTCTAAATTGACCAGCCCAAATTTGCGGGTGTTACATTCTCATTCTCTTGATATCCACTGCACCGTGCATCCATACATCAAATCACCATAGCCTTCTTTCACCATCTTGAACACTAGATCCCTATCCCCAGCCTTCTTTCACCATCTGTCTCTACCTTTGTCGAAAAATCACTACACCGCCATGGGAAACCCTAGAGAATGTCGTTGTTGTTCTACCTGAAAACCCTTGACCCACGAAGCAGGAGAGAAGGAACATATTAAAACAACAAGAAAACCAATCAGAATCCTAACAAGAAATAACATACTTATTTCACCATGATGAAGATTCCTTTTTCCATGTCCCGTACTTTTTTCCCTCTTTGCCATAACTTCAAGGAGAAGTTCCTTGTACCATTAACTTACTTCACCATGATACCATTCAAAGTAACCACATTCTTCATCTTCATGAGGCTAGTACCTGCACCTAAAGTATCTTCTACCAGGATTCTTCTCACTCGTTGATATCTTCATTGGGACTGCTAGTCCACAACAACACGTCCTAGAGGGACCATTGGTTGACTTGTTTACCCCAGTTTGGGATGATGATCTGAGAGAGAGAGAGAGAGAGAGAGAGAGAGAGAGAGAGAGAGAGAGAGAGAGAGAGAGAGAGAGAGA